CACAAGGTTAAAAACATCCTATTACATCAAGTCTGTGCACCTGTGAATTTCTCAAGATACTTAAAATTAACCTGTGGAAGATAAAATGCAGTTACAATCACAAACTGAAAAGGTGTGAACTGACTTGATCCTAGAAAACAAATCTACAAGCTCTAATCTGTCTTCTTATTAGATTTCTTACAGGTAGTGATTATGTATCTATTGCATTATAAGTTGAGTTTTTTCTCTGAAATTAAAATAAAATTGAATCCAGCTCATCTGTACTTTTTTATAACCCTAGCTGCTAATTTCAGCAGTATTACCTGCTTTGGCTGCCTCTGTAATATGTGCATTTTTAACCAGGCTTCAACCTCTTCAATCTTCTTCTTTTGCACAGCAAGGTCATTCTAAAACAAGATTAAACTATATTGAATGCATATACACACCTGTTGGTTTCCAAGACTGCAATAATGAGATTCAAGAACAGAATACATGCTGACTGGAACAGTAACAGACATGTATGAGCATAAACATATGAAATTGGAACATACTATGTAGAAATAAGTGCAACAGTTAAGAATAATCACTTCAGCCTGTTTCCTCCAACAACCAATTTTCCATCACTATCAGTCGGTAAATAATGTATTATTTATCTGTTATTCCTAAAGTAACATTACAATCTTGCCTGTTTGTGCCAGTATGCCTTATAGCTATTGCTGGAGGTGGAACTTTTCAGGCTGTACTGACTCTAATACTACATAGCTTTTCTGAACTTCTGCAAATCTCAGGCAACTTACTCACCTTCTAGCCTTCCAACTCAATTCCTCTCCAGAGATGAGCTATTAAGTATTTAAATACAAAATACAAGCACTACACTAACTTATTTACATCAACCAGCACTCAAAACTAAGAGACATTTAACTCACATGCTGACATCTTTGACACACACTATGAAAAAGCTGTTCCAACAGCAGAACCAGGGAAGACAGGTTTACTACAGGTTTGAGTCCATTCTCCTTGAAGTCCTAAGGTACCACAGTGCCCCACACCCTCAAAGTCATGCCAAGATGCATCGAGCAAACAGGAGATAGCGGAAACTGCAATCAGTCAAGTAGTCTGAACATGCTAATGGCTAACTGCTGCCCAGTAACACTCAAGATGATTTCCATTATCTCTCCCATAATGAGTGCACTGACTCAGTTCTCTCCTCTTTCTTTAGCTGTGGATTTTCCTAGTACTTGGAGCTGTGAGATCTGGCTGAAATTCAGAAACAGGCTCAAAAGTTCAGGAGTGGATTGATAGGAAACACCTCATCAGTAGCTTTATATCCTCAGGAAGCCTGAGAAAAATGCACTTCCTATACATAAATACCTCATTAAAATCTTACCTACAAGCAGTAAATAAATCAAAATAGTACTTTGCTGCTCTAGTAAAACAGGATATACTTAGAAGCTGACCAATACAGATGATGAACAGACGCACAACAGGTCACACTGTAATGTCACTACTACATTAGCACTGAGAATAACTCTCACACCTGAGTTTCAGGTTTGTATCTATCTACCCATGGTTCATCTTGAGACTGGCTCCAGTTTTGTCTGGACTTGTTACGAGATAGATCTACTGAAGACGACTTTGCTCTTTTTCTGGGCAGAACTTTGCTTCTTCTGCTTTCTGTCACAGAAGACACGTCTTTCTTCTGCTGCTGGTTTCTACCAGAGCTGCCTTCGAGTGGCTTCACAGGAATGGCATTGGGGGAAACACTTGTGTTTCCTAAGAAGTCATCAAATGAATGCGCCAACCAATCTGTCACCTGGTAAAATACAAATGTTTTGCTTCAATGTAGCACTCTCCTCCCCTGAATTTGGTACAGTTGTCTTTACAAAATCAGAGATTTTTGTCAAGCATATGTAAGAATATGTCATAGATGTAAAGAACTTCATTAGAATTGAAGGTTGGAACTGGATGATCTTTAAGGTCCCTTCCAACCCAAACCATTCTATGATTCTATGACTAATGACTAGTTAGCCACAAACCTGGGCAGTTATGCTTTTTGAATGCCTCAATTATATGCTTCCTCAGTATTACAAACCTTACACACTGTGATATTTTGCAGCATATCAGCAAATCTGAACAAGCTGAAAATTTTGAAAACAGATGTTCAAACTAAAGAAATAAAATTAAAACTCTGATAAGAATGAAAAAGTAGTACAAGCTTAGTTATATCCTTTTTATATTAAGGTCATGTTCATGTTTTATGTCCTCTGCCCCCTCATGTTTTCAGCATGTGGCAGTTATTTTTTTCTTTTTATAACATTGGCAATGCAGACATTTGTGTTTAGAAGCAGGAAAGAGATGACAGAGAACCTATTAGTTGGGTGGCTGTCCTGGGTTCAGCGACATCAGTCATTTTTTCTCCTTCTTAGTAGCTGGTGCAGTGCTGTGGTTTTGACTTTCAGTCTGGGAACAACACTGATAACACACCGATGTTTTTAGTTGTTGCTCAGTAATGTTTACTCTGACCAAGGACTTTCTCAGTCTCATGCTCTGCCAGGGAGGAGGGGAAGCCGGGAGGAAGCAGAGACGGGACACCTGACCTAAACTAGCCAAAGGGGTATTCCATACCACAGCACGTCATGCCCAGTATATAAACTGGGGGGAGTTACCCAGAAGGCCCAGATCGCTGCTCGGGTCGGGCTGGGTATCGGTCAGCGGGTGGTGAGCAGTTGTGTCCTCTCCCCTTCTTATTTCCCTTACTGTTATTATTGGTGGTAGCAGTAGTGGTTTTGTGTTATACCTTAGTTACTGGACTGCTGTTATCTCAACCCATGAGAGTTACATTCCTCCGATTCTCCTCCCCATCCCTCTGGGAGGAAGAAATGGGGGCAGTGAGCGAGTGGCTACATGGTTCCGAGTTACCAGCTGGGCTTAAACCATGACAGTGGCGCAGTAAAATCAAATGTTTCATTTGCTTATGAGGAAGTGGGATGAGGAACCTAGAATGAGACTGTCACTCAAATCTGTCTGATGGTGACAAGGAACAAAACTGTTAGCAGCATCAATATTTAATTTAAGATTTAGAAATATTTAATTTAAGATTCAAATTAAGATGTTAGAAATTTTTTGTACACCCGTCCAGACCCTGTCAGAATGGGTGTACAAACTTAGAACCCAGAGCTACTTTTCAGCCTAACTATGGTCCCAAAAATATTACCAGAATGATTACAGGCTCTCCGTTGGTAACAACCACACGATAACCTTTTAGCATAGGAGCTGTAAAAGGTGACATGCAAAACACAGCTCTGTGAAAACAGGGGCAACAGAACAGACGCATCATCTCCAAAAAGGTCCATGAATGTTCTGATGTTTACATGTAAGAATTAATCAAACAGGCCACTACCAGACAATGAAGTATTTGAGGGCAAGAATCACAGAATCAGCTAGGTTGGAAAAGACCTTTAATATCATCAAGTCCAACTATTGCCCCAGCACTACCAAGGCCACCACCAAACCATGTCACTAAGGGCCTCA